TGATCGACATATAATGTATACTTGTATGGGAGCTTAGAAAGTGAAGGAAGAGCCGCAGTGGCGGCACATGCCTTTAATCCCAGCATCTGGGAAGCGGGGGCCGGCGGCTGAGTTCCAGGACAGCCAGAGCCACACCAGAAGCCCTGTCTCAAAAAACCAGAAAAAAGACCCAAAAACATGTTTGCTAGGCAGTGGTGGCGCAAACCTTTAATCCCAGCACTCGGGAGGCAGAGACAGGTGGATCTCTGTGAGTTCAAGTTCAGCCGGGGCTCTGAACTCATCTCAGACAGAGATGGGTATCTGAGTTTGAGGCCAACCTGGTCTACAGAGCGAGTTCCAGGACAGCCAGGGATACACAGAGAAGGAAATCACAAAAAACAAACAAAGTGAAGGAAAAGGAAAATCTTTTAAAAATCTGGACGGCAGCCGACACACTCCTGTTGTTACTGCGTTCTGGCGGCATAGAGCCTTGCTATTGTGTGTTCTCTGTGTGTGCAGATGTGTTCTCCTGAGTTAGTTACAATTTTCAGATGGAAAATAGTGCCTTTTAAATATCTCTTAGTTTTCAGTGGGTTTTTAGAGCACTTTGTGTATGTCTCTTAAGTCTGAAAGGTTAACATTTACTGTGTTAGTCAGGCATGGAGCTTAGCACCCATGACCCTAGCCCTCAGGGAGTTGAAGCAGGAGGGATCACACGTTCAAGGGTAGCCTAGGCTACATAGCAAGACTGTCTCAACAAGACTGTCTCAGAACAAAAACAAACAAACAAGAAGTGTGTAGTAGTAATGGAGATTCAGAACTGAAACAGCCGTCTAGGAGGGAGGGTCAGACTAAACGTATCAATACCACTTGGCAGTTCAGTTAAGCAGCTCTTCAAAAATTTACAAACTTTATTATAAAAAACCTTGCAAATACATAGAAACATCACACAGTAATGAGACCCAGAGTCTCTCTACAATTCAACTTCTGTACAGTTTGAATAGTCTGGGAATGTAAGCCATGGAACTTCACATTAAATTTTACTCTTTTTTTTTTTTTTTTTTTTGGTTTGTTTTTTAAGACAAGGTTTCTCTGTGTAGCTTTGGAGACTTTCGTGAAACTCACTCTGTAGACCAGGCTGGCCTCAAACTCAGATATCTGCCTGCCCCTGACTCCCAAGTGCTGGGATTAAAGACATTTGCCACCACCACCTGGCTGCTATATTTTTAATATAGAATATATTTTATGCACTTATCTACCATAAAAAAAAAAGCCCATGGCAGTTTTAGAACTAGTAAAACAATTAACTTTGTGTCTTCTTTATTTTTCTTTTTTCTTTTTCTTTTATATTTTATTTATTTATTTTTTTTCCGAGACAAGGTTTCTCTGTGTAGCTTTGGAGCCTGTCCTGGAACTCGCTCTGTAGCCCAGGCTGGCCTCGAACTCAGAGATCTGCCTGCTTCTGCCTCCTGAGTGCTGGGATCAAAGGTGTGCGCCACCACCGCCTGCCATGTGTCCTCTTTCATGACCCTTGCCCATTACCTGCATTCATTCCTTCCTTATATCCTTATATTTAGCCTTTCTTCTGTTTTCTTCTTGTTATACTGTACCTACATGGACATTTGTGTATATATACATATACATATACATATATATATATGTATATATATAAACCATTTTAATATTAAAGTTTTAATATTTTAAAATATTTATTTGATTATGAATATGTAAGGGGGTATGTGCACATGCATGCTGGTGCCTGAGAAGGCCAGAAGCGTTGGATCCCCCTGGACTAGAGTTAACAGCAATTGTGGACCACAGTTGCTGGGTGCTGGGAACAGAACTCAGAACCTCTGGGAGAGCAGTATGTGCTCTTATCCACCAAGCCATCTCTCCAGCCCCTTCACCACCTGTTTTCATAGACAGCTTCCAGGACCAATTCCAAGGAAATGGTACATTGAAGAGATCATAAATATACCAGTCTGTTAAGCGGTGGGGTTACTGCAGCTTTGAAGATTAATTTTTTTGTAGTTTAGTTTACAGGATCTTGTTTTTAATCATCACCTGGTTCGTAGAACATGAAATAGCATGATAAAATCAGGTATGTAGTGTTTTCCTCAATTAGCAACCAGATTGTCTCAGTATTAAAGGTTCGTTAAGTAGATACACAAATTATTCACCTTGAATGAGAGTGGAATGTGAGCGCTGGAGGATCACACACCTGGTCCCAGGCTTTCAGCAGAAATCTCCTCAGAGATGCTTGAGAGCAACAAAGCTTCAGGTTGGGAGTTTTCAGATTTTGGTGTATGTGTGTGGCTTTACCGGTGACATCCGTTAATCCCTTTGGATTTGGAATTTTGGAATTAGGGGATGCTAGCTTGTATAAGGAGATGGAGAAGAAAAAAGTGAACAGAAAGATGCTCTGGTCCAGCCCAGAGTTGTGCTGCCTGCCTGCCTGTCATCCCAGCACTTGGGAGGCAGAGGCAAGGGAGTCAGGAGTCTACAGTCATTCTTGACTTGACTGCAGACTGACTTAGAAACCAGTCCACGGCATCTTCTGATGGCCACCAGATGGCCCAGTTGTTCCACAGCAACAGGCTGTGTCAACTAGTTCTTGGGAACAGAAGGGGGGGGGAGTACAGTCAATGAGTGGTCCTGTAACTGTCCATTCAAAGAATAGGACACGATCCAGTTGCTTGTACATAATCTGGGGCTGCTGTTTCATGAATCAAGCAGTAGTCTACACTTACTTATTTGAGTCTGGTTCTCCTCTGTTGCTATTTTGAGACAGTCTCTTCTTATGTAGCCCAGTTTGTAATTTGTATGAGAAAGTTAACCTTTTTTTGAGACAGTGCTTCATTTATCTCTGGCCTTGTAGCTGGTGATGGCTTTGAACTCCTGATTCTTTTGCCTCCCGAGTACAGAGATCACAGGTGTATGCCACTGCACCTGGTTTAAAAGTTAACTCATGGGAGGCCTGCCCCTTTCTGAATGGAGTAGTGGATGGGGGGGTTGACGGAAGGTGGGGGAGAGGAACGGGAGGGGAAACTGGTTGGTATGTAGAATAAATGAAAAAATTAATAAAGAACAAGACGAAAGTTAAATCTTTATATATGTATTCCCTAGTAAAGTATTAATAACATTAGGACACAGCTTACTGTATTATAACTTACAAAGAACCACTTTGGTATGTTTTTGTAGATACTACTGAAATTCTATATTTTAAATGTTTATTATTAGCTTTTAAATGATTGATACAGTAACTTGCAAATGAGGAATACCATTAGTTACAAAAAAAAGGAAAAAGTAGTGACTGAAGAAAGGGAATGAATATGATGCAATTTTTAATTGCTCAATTTAATTAATTTTTGGTGTGTGTGTGTGTGTGTGTGTGTGTGTGTGTGTGTGTGTGTATGTGTGTGCAGGTGTTCTCATGAGGGTGTGTGAAGGCCAGACGTTGGTGTTGGTGTAAGGTGACTTCCTCTATTGCACTCTAGCTTTTTTCTTTTCTTAATTATTTTAAAAAATATTTATTTATTATGTATACAGTATTCTGTCTGCATGTATGCTTACAGACCAGAAGAGGGCGCCAGATCAAATTATGGATGGTTGTGAGCCACCATATGGTTGCTGGGAACTGAACTTAGAACCTCTGGAAGAGCAGACAGTGCTCTTAACTGCTGAGCCATCTCTCCAGCCCCTCTATAATTTGGTTTTTACATTTATTTAGCGTGTGTGTGTGTGTGTGTGTGTGTGTGTATACAGAGACACAAGCATGAGTGTGTGCCCTGGCATGTGTGTGGAAGGCAGAGCACACCTTGCGGGAATGACCTGTTTCCTTCTACAGTGTAGGTTCCCATCTGGAACTCTTATCATCACATTCGTTGGCCAATGTCTTTCCCTGCTGAGCCAGATCGTCGCCCTTTGCCTCATTTTCTGGGACCTCGAGCTAGACTGGCCGGCCATGAGGCCCCAGGGCCTCCTTCCCATTTCTTCCCAGCACTGGGACCGTAGGCATGTGCAGTCCGTCACCATGAGCTTGTACACGGGGCTGGGGATCTGACCTCAGGCCTCACCCTTGCACAGGGCGCGCTTTACCCACCGAGCGTCTCGTCAGCCCCCCTCTGACAGCTTTAACACCCCCATGTTTTTCTAAAGAGTAGCCAGTGTACATCAGATTTTAAGGAAGTTTCTCCCCATAGTCCACGCGGAGATAGTCCTAGAAGTCCAGTTCTTGTAGGCCTGCTCAGCTACAGTGCTTTTATGACGTGCCCCCAGGTGGGGAGGACGCCTTCTACAGGCAGAGGCTCCGTGTGGAGAGTCCGACCGAGCTCCCCAAATGGTGACTCAGGAGATCTCTCAATCCTTTGAGGAAGTAACTTGTGTTGTGTGCTACCTCAGGCTCTGTGCGTTGACAGTGCAAGACTCAGGCTGTGGCGCTCCAGGACTGGACAGAGTAAGGGCAGAACCAGTTCAGGGAGAGCCGGCTGCGTGTGAAGTGCCCAGAGCAGAGGAAGGGCTCTGGGAAATCGTTCTGGGGTGGTGGTTTTAAATATGACACTTCGAGTGGGTTTCTTTTCATGTCTCTCCAGTTTTACAGTCACATAGTGACTGTATTTGAAATAGTAATAATACATGGACTATTTATTGTGCTTGTTTGGAAGAAATTCAGTAAATTAAAATTCCGTAAGTAAGACAATTGTGGAGGAGGGGATCAGGTCCCTCAGTGAGTCCATTTCTTTTTCTGCTGAAGAGTTTGACCTTTTTTGTCTTTTGTCACAGGGTCTCTCTGTAGCCCTGGCTGGCCTGTCATTCCATATGTTGACCAGACTGGCCTTGAACTCGCAGAGATTCTCCTGCCTCTGCTTTCCTGAGGGCAGAGACTAAAGGCATGCGCAACCATGCCTGACAAGTTTGATGAGTTAATGTCTCTGCGGCTGTTTTCAAAACTATACAGTAGCCTAGCTGGGGGATTTCTTCTCATCTTTCACTAACTTCAACCTTCTCTTCTTTTGCAACAGTGATCACATGGAAAATGTTTATGGCTATCTGATGAAGTACACCAACCTCGTCACTGGGTGGCAGTTCAGGTAAGGTGACTGTCCTAGAAGAGATTGGGACGGGGAGCTGATTGTGATATATGCAGACATCGGTACAGAGAGCTGGGAGCCTTTTAGAGGAGGGTCTACCACTTCTCTCCTACAGTGGGATGGCTTTCTCCTTAGGTGGAGGGGTTGGCATATGTCCAGGCGGCAGCCTCTATCTCTCAGAAATACCATTAGGAACAGAGTGCCATGTTCACTTGCCACGTGCTTTTACTGTGTGCAGAGGGGAGGAGAATGGGCATTTGTGCTTGATTCTCAAAGCTCTGTGACCTTGGAGGGTTAACTAAGCGGCCTACAGCCACGCAGGCAGTGGGAGCAGGGGAGCGGATCTCTCAAGTACATTGTGGACTTGACATTGCAGGCAGAGAGAGGTATTAAGCTTTTTTTTTTGTTTTGTTTTGTTTTTGTTTTTCGAGACAGGGTTTCTCTGTTTAGTTTTGATGCCTGTCTTGGATCTTGCTCTGTAGCCAAGGCTGGCCTCGAACTCACAGAGCTTCGCCTGGCCCTGCCTCCCAAGTGCTGGGATTAAAGGCGTGTGCCACGGCTGCCCAACTAAGCCTTTACTTTTTAAAGTGAAATTAAATATTAAATATAGTCACCATTTTGTAGAGCTGTCATAACCAACCACCCATCTCCAGAACCTTCCTCGTCCTCTCAAGCTGAAACTCCCTGCCCTTTATATAATAGTGTCCCTTCATAAGTCTCCCTGCCTACTTTGGTCTCTGGATTTTAATACTCCTTCTGTCTCGTGTCCATGGAGCATACAATATGTGACTTTTGTGACTTTTGATTTCTCTCTGCATGGTTTCAAGATTCATCTATATGAATTTAGACTTGTATTTTAGAACTTTAGTGGGTTCTTTTGTTATTGTTTTTTTTTTTAAAGATTTATTTATTTATTATGTATACAGTGTTCTGTCTGCACATATCCCTGCAGGCCAGAAGAGGGCACCAGATCTCATTACAGATGGTTGTGAGCCACCATGTGGTTGCTGGGAATTGAACTCAGGGCCTTTGGAAGAGCAGCCAGTGCTCTTAACCTCTGAGCCATCTCTCCAGCCCCTTGTTTTTGTTTTTTTTTTTTTTTTTTTGAGATGATTTTTCTGTGTAGCCTTAGCTGTCCGCAAACTCAGAGATCCGCCTGCCTCTGCCTCCTGAGTGCTGAGATTAAAGGCCACCACCGCCCTGCTCTTTGGTGGTTTTTATTTTATTTTTATACTTACATGTGTGGATGTGTGCCCGAGTGTCACAGTGAGCACGTGGAGATCAGAGTCAGTTCTGTTTCCATTATGTGGTTCCCAGGGATTGAACTGAGGTCTTCAGGCCTGGCAGCACTCCCTCATCCACTGAGCCATTTTGTTGGCCCAATTTAAAAAATTACATTAATTTGTGTGTGTCTGTGTGTGCATCTATGTGTGCATGTACTCCAAACCATGTGTTTGGCAGTGAGAGGATATCTTACAGGAATCAGTTCTCTCCTTCCATCATTCGGGTACTGGGATTTGACTAAGGGCATCACACTGGCAGAAGTGCCTTCACTCAAAAAGCCATTTCCCTGGTCCATACCATTATTTAAAGACCAGTAATATTCTGATGTGTGTATATAAGACCTTGGTTTATTCATTCATCTATTGATGGACACTTGGGTTGTTTCTACCTTTGGCAATTGTAAATTATACTGCCGTGAATGTTGTGCCAACTTGAATATCTGTTCGAGTTTACATTTTTTGTCTATGTGAGGAAGTAGAACTAATGGATGATACAGCATAGTGTGTGTTTTTAAAAAGATATGAGCTTCGGCTGGGCATGGTGGCACACAACTTTAATCTCACCATTTGGGAGGTAGAGGCAGAGACAAGCAGGTCTCTGTGAGTTAGAGGCCAGCCTAGTCTGTATAATGAGTTCCAGGACAGCCAGGCTATATATAAAGAGACCCTGTCTCAAAAAAACCAAAATAAAACAAAATAAGTGAGTTTTTTCTGTGTGGCCCAGGCTGAGTCTAAGCTCTGGAGCCTTCACATCTGGGGCAGCTAGGACGACAGATGCTGTCCTTGTGCCTGGTTGTACCCTTTACTCTGACCAGCAAAAGCTGCGTGCACAAAGGTTCTAATTTCTCTCACCTGTTGGGGGTGGGGGTGGGGGTCCTGTTTCCACCCCTCAGTGCTAGGATTACAGGCACGCACAGAATGCAAGACTTTTTATGTGGGTGCTGGGGATTCAGACTCAGGTCCTCAGGCTTGTAAGCACATCTTCCCCAGCCCTTAATCGTTCTTTAAAGTAATCAAACTAAAATTTGTAAGCAAATAATTTTGAGTCTAAGGTCTATTTTTATAGACAAATTATTTTCACAAAACCATGTAGCATGCTGTTTCTAATCCACGTGCATTTGGAGTCTTCTGCTTTTCATCCTGATGGGATAATACAAGTTAATGTTGTTTTCTTCCTACCTTAAACAACACAAACCAGGAATGATACATGAAAGAACGATTTTCTTTTGGAAAGAATGTTTTTCAGACACTTTAAAGAATAGCAGAAACACCCATGAAAAATACAGTTTTCAAAAAGAAGCCATGGCATAGGCATTTCCATCCTCCCGTCATACACACATGCGCACGCACATGCACACACATCATATAAAGACAAACTTTTTTTTTTAACAAATCTTTTTTGTTTGTTTGTTTTTGTTTTTGTTTTTTGAGACAGGGTTTCTCTGTGTAGCTTTGCGCCTTTCCTGGAACTCACTTGGTAGCCCATGCTGGCCTCGAACTCGCAGAGATCCACCTGGCTCTGCCACCCGAGTGCTGGGATTAAAGGCGTGTGCCACCACCGCCCAGCTAAAGACAAACATTTTTAAAAAGAGAACAAAAAACACCATCATGTTCCATTTCTGACAGAGTTGTTGGAGGTTGTGAGACACCACACAGACATACCAACTCCTCAGTGTGGAATGGATAGATTGAAGCATGAGATGGAAACAGATTAAGAAGCTGTTGAGGAACCAGAGGCTTAGGGGATCAATCTGTGTGATTTCCAAACTACCATTTCCATGCACTGCAAAAAAGAAGCGTAAGGAACAAAAGCATTGTACCTGTGCTGGATATTCAAGGCAGTTTCCTTCCCTCCAAGCCACTGCTACTTTGACTCAAAGCAGCTTCAAGCAGGTTGGAGAAACCTAACAAGAGTGCTCTAGAAAAAACTGCTTGATGACTGGTAAGATAACTCAGTTGGCAGGCTAGCAGGATGGCTCAGGGGATTGGTAGTTTGCATTAAAATATCCCCCCCCCCCCGTAAGCCCATCCTGGGTGGCACTGTTAGTTGGTGTGGTCTTGTTAGTAAGTGCTTCACTAAGGGCAGGCTTTGAGGTAGGTCTCAGCTGCTCAAGCCAGGTCTAGTGTGGCATGTACTTCCTGCTGCCTGGGGATCAAAGTGTAGAAGTCTCAGCTCCTTTCCCAGCACCGTGTTTACCTGCATGCCACCATGCTTCCTACCATGGTGAGAATGGACCGAACCTCTGAACTGTAAGCCAGCCCCAGTTAAATGTTTCCCTTTATGAGAGTTGCTGTGGTCATGGTGTCTCTTCACAGCAATCTAAACTAAAACGGGGTAATGACTTCCATCCCTGGTACCCACAGGATGGGAGGAGAAGACTCCTGCAGGCTGCCCTCTGACCTCCACAAGTACACCAGGGCACACTCGTGCTCACAATAAATAAATACATGGTTGTAATTTAAAAAAAAAAAAAAAAGAGGGCTCAGTTGGTAAATCACTTGCCACACAAGCTTGGGGATCTGAGTTTGATCCCCAAAGCCCATGTTAAAAAGCCAGGTGGCACATACTTGTAATACCATCACTGGGCAGGCTGGCCATCCATCCATAATGGAGAGTTCCAGGACATTGTGAGAGCCTGTCTCACAAATAAGGTCGACAGCATTCCTGAGACTTGACACGCAAGGTTTTCTCTAGCCTGCAGACATGCACACACAGTTGATTACTTGAGGTGGTCATGGTGACACATACCTGTAATTGCAGTACTCAGGGGGGAGGTGGAGGATCAGATATCAAAACTGTGGGTAGCTGCTTAGGGAGATTGAGGCCAGTGAGAAGTGAGATCCTGTCTGCACTCATTCCCCCACTCCCAAAGAGGGGCTTGCTCTGGAATGGAGTGCCCTAGAAAAGTGTAAAGCAAGATTCTCCTGATTCCACTTCCTTCCAGTGTTGACTCTAGTCCTCGAAGGGGCCAGAATGGCTTAGGATTCTGTGGATGCTGAACCTTAAAGCCTCACGAAGGTCAGAGCAAAGCAGATAGCTGGTTTTCTATTCAGAACCACCACTAATGTTTATCTTTGAACTTCCAAGTTAAGATACAGTTAGTTGTATTTCATGATGCTTAAGTTGTAGGCAGCCCTAAACATTAGTTGTTTCTCCAAACTGACAGTCTTCGTCATCTTGCAGTTGCAAAAGCAAACAAACAAAACCACAACAATCTTGCAGTATTCATCTTTAACTAAAAAGGTGACTTTCTATTGTGGAGGTTTGTGCCGAATGTTCAATTTCCCAGTACACTCAGCAGTTATTCCTATCTTTCTAGTTTATTGTTTAGGCCGACTTACTGAGATGCCTGGGTCAAGAGTCTAGTGCCCTCTGTGGAAAGCAGCTGTCCCACCCCCTCACTGCATGGGTCAGTCTGTAATCTACACACTTCTTTTTCCCTCTGGTACCGGGCTTGAACCGGGGGCCTTCATGTGCCAAAGCAGCACTCCTCCACTGAGCCATAGCTCCAGCCTTTGTGTGTTTTTAGTTTTGAGTGAGATGGGATCTCAGTAAGTTGTCTAGACTGCCCTTAAACTTAGAGTCCTGCCTCAGCCTTCCTGTAGCTGGATTACAGGCTGACCACTAGTCCTGGCTAATCTATCCTGTAGTCTTGCTTTAGAAGGAATTGACCCATGTGTACTGAAGAACAGCCCAGAGTGCTCTGTTAGGTCCTA